GTAAATTGACATTCCCAGAATTCCCTGCGTTACATTTCAAATTTGATGTTTTTTTGTTGAAATAACTATGTTTCTTCTTAGTTTTTTCTTATCAGTTTTGTATATTAGGGTTGTGTGTTACACCTAATGTTGTTAAATGAATGTTTATTGCATTATTTCAGTTTCATGTGTGTTACCATGATGGTGTTTAGTGTTTGTGTGAATGACACTGTGCACCTTCTATATATGTTATTATTTAAAAGCTGCTTGTGATGGGCTTTGGTTCATCATGTGACTTTCTCATCACCACCTGCGTTTGGTGGTTATCAGTGTATTACAAAGGTACAAAACAGATTTCAGTACTTAAATAGGTTGGTATATTAACATTATATCAGTTAATTAAATTACGGTATTTATCTGTAAATTTAAGTTAAAACCGTAAAACCTAAAACATTGCTACCGTATTTATTACGGTAAAATTCCAGCAACTCACAGCTGCTGGTTTTTTACCGTACATTTTACGGAATTTTTTTTACAGTGTAACATTACAAGCCAAACTCTTGGTAGGCTTATGATAATTCTATACAAATAATATACATTATGTTATAAATAATTTATTTATTTGCAAATCAATACTTTTTTTTTTACAGACAGTCCATAAGAACAAGTGGACACAGTGAAAGTTCGGAGAGGAACTTCTGGAGAGGTTGAAGAGGAACGTGTTTTACCTGGAAGGTAGGCAAACTGTCTAGGCCAGGAAAATCCTCAATATCACCCGTAGTGATGTTAAAACATGCCCCATGCCATGGACATCGCACATGCCCTTTTGATAGCACACCTGGAAGAGAATTGTTTTTAAATAGACTGTATTACTGAAAGAACAATGCGTTTTGCTATTTGATAAAGCTTATAGCACACTTATATTATTAGCAGTGTGGTATAAAATCCTCTGAGAGCTGTTGGTATCCCAAGCTATGGAATGCAGAGGACTAGGAGTGCTCTACAGGACGTCCCTCACCTTTGACCAGTGGAGCCCCATAATGTGGGCACTTGTGTCCCATGGCAAAGAATTCTCCATGTTCCTTAATGAGCAGAGCACGACCAGTCCCCAAATCCACCTCACGGATTCTGCCAAACACACACATAAGATCAGCACAGATTTAACATCCAAAACTCAACCCAATAGATGCATTCAAAGGTTACAGCTGATGTAATTTATGTGCCACCAAGAGGGGGAAAACTGATATATATCAGCATTAAAAAACCTTAAATCATTTTGTTGTGGGTTTTAGTTCATGTTTCTTATCTTTGAGATGTTTCTCATCCATATACTAGAGTATTCTTAAAGGTTGGCAAAGTTAAATTTTTGCAGATATATGCATTTAAAATTGACAGTCTTTCTCTTCCTGGAGCACAAACCAAAATATTGATGACATCACTTTATGCTCATTATCATATGCAGACTTTAGTCCAATAAATTGCTCTATAGAATGAGAATGTCCCTCCATCTAATACCATTTGCAACCAACTAGCAATAGTTTGTAGAAAACAAACTGTGGTTTTGCTGTATTCTTATGTAAACTAGAGGATAATAGCTCATTTACTGGCTCAACATCCTGTTTTAATAGGAAATAAATTAAAATAGCAAAAAAAAAAAGTCAGATTATTTAATGTGGTAAGGCCTATTTATTTAAAAAATAATTTAAATGATAATTGAAAGATTTTTTTTCATTGGCTCTAAATAGCACACAAACATACGCTCAAATATACAGGAACACGACAATTCGGTATTGTATTGAAATCAAGAACTTACTGTCCATTCTCAAGGTCTTTTACATGGCAGACAGATGCTTCTATGTAATCTCTGTGTTTACGGTGTGGCCGCAGTGTCATGGTGTCCTCGTCTGAACAGTGTCCCAGAGATCCGTTGATTCTGCATTCTGAAAATGGACTGGCCTTTCCATTAGGAGACATCAGGTCCACCTCTTTCTCTTTGTCCAAAAGAGTGAGCTCAACTTTGACCTCTACTGCAAAAAAAAATTGCTTGATATAAGTACAAGAGAATAAGACAATTTTCTATACTTTCTTCTATACAAACTAATTGATTTGTTTGGCTAAATGTAAATGCAAACCACTGCCATCTTTAAATACGTTGCTAACAGTTTAGTAATTGTTCTTGGTGTGAACAGGCCTTAAGACACTATAATGTCATGTCAAGTACATAACAAATACAGTGCTATTTCTGTGTAGAAATAGCATTCCGAGTTCAAACACAGCTTGGAGAAGAACATTGGAAGCTGAAGCACCATTAATGTACACAGTCTTTTTAGAAAGTGATTGTGAAATGTGCTTCCACTACAGTCTGGTCTCACTCTAGCTTTCTCTCTGGCCGGAAAAATGTGCTGAGGGCCTGCTTCTTATGCCTTAATCACACAGGAATTCACACCTGCTGAGTGAAGCTTAATTAAAATCAATGGAAAATGCAAGATGACTTGAGCCGGCAGAGGAAAGAAAAAGAAAGAAAACTCGCCTTCTCAGAGCTGACTGCAGACACTTTGTTTTTTGAGTCAGAACTGGGAAAATAACATCTGCCAGATCATTTAGTGAACATGTGTATCTATAGGTTTCATCAATGAAACCACATTTTCATTCCCGTTCCCTTATTCAGCCTACTAAAAAGAAAAAAATCTGTGGACATAAATGACAAGCATTAAATATAAAGATAAGGTGTGTAGACTATTTCAGTCAAAGGGCTTAATTTAAGCAATAGGTCCAGTGCTCTATAATATCTACTGTCTAATAATTATTTTTCCTCCCATTCCCACTTTAACTAAAGGTAATCATTTTGATTTTAGTGACTGCTCAACAGACACTGGATTTGGAGTCAGCATACTGCTTCAAAATTAACAAATTGTATTTTTTCTAGCAAACAGTTTCATTTGTGCCTCATTTGTGTCCCCATAATAAAATTGAACAGGATTCAGAAACGTAGTCATGTTATTTGGTGGATTTAGTTTTGTGTGCAATGTGGAAAAATACATTAAGTAAAGATCATGTTCCATTAAGATATGTAGTAAATTTCCTACCGTAAATATATCAAAACTTTTTTTAAGTTTAACTAAACAAAACATTTTTGATTAGTAATCTGCATTGCTAAGAACTTAATTTGGACAACTTTAAATGCGTTTTTCTCAATATTTAGATTTTTTTGCACCCTCAGATTCCAGATTTTCAAATAGTTGTATCTCGGCCAAATATTGTCCTATCCTAACAAACCATACATTAATGGAAAGCTTATTTATTTAAAAAAAAAATTTGACCCTTATGAGTGGTTTTGTGGTCCAGGTTCACAAATATAAACTTGCAATGGTGAGAAGAAAATCAGAATTATGAGATGCAAAGTAGCAATTACCTTTTTTATTTTTTTATCCGATGATGGAAACGAGCTTCTGTAGCAATGGTTTGACATGTATTAAAAAAGTATTTTTTAAAGGGGTCATATGATGCGATTTCAAGTTTTCCTTTCTCATTGGAGTGTTACAAGCTGTTCGTGAATAGATAAGATCCCTAAAGTTGCAAAGACTAAAGTCTCAAACCCAAAGAGATATTCTTTATAAAAGTTAAGACTCGTCCATGTGAGCAACGCATTTTACGGAGGACGAGGACTGTTTCCTTGGAGAGTATAGCCTACAATGCCGCTTTCATATTTAAAGAATTTGTCACTGATGATTCAAACGTGAGTTTTGAGCAGTGTAGAGCACTGGTATTGTCTCGTCACACCCGGACACAGCATCGCAGTATGGGAAGGGGCGTAACATTTATGTCACACGCTTGAGGTATTCGGCCAATCACAACGCACTGGATAGCTGACCAATCAGAGCCACATTTCATTACACCAAATACACCAAATAATGTTATTTTTTAGCAACGTCATATGACCCCTTTAAGTAAAAGTTTAAGTACATATATCAAATTATCATTTTATCTTATCATATTTAATCATATTCATGTAATCAAAATCATAATATTATACAATACTGTTCAGACCTTTTTTGAACGATTTTTGAAAGACGTGAACACAGTAATATTGTGGAATTATTATTACAATTTAAAAAAATGTTTTTATTTTAATAAATTTTAAAATATAATTTATTCCTGTGATGGCAAAGCTGAATTTCAGCATCATCACTCCAGTCTTCAGTGTCACATGATTCTTCAGAAATCATTCTAATATGCTGATTTGCTGCTTGCATCACCGACCTCCTGGTAATCCTGTTGCTCTGATATTGTATGGTCAAAACAGAATAGATAGTCATAGTCATTTCTTATGTAAGTTTCCAAGCACAGTGAACAGTGACAGAAGGCCACAGTGTCACAGTCTAGCTCGGGGCGTTCGGACTCTTTCTGTACCCTCTGAAATCTGAAATCCACGGTCACACTTTCACAACTGAGTCTCTGGTCAGATGAAAGTCGTTTTGGACCCCCTCAGTAGTACCCCCTCCCCCAGCCGCCATAGAAGAGAAAGAGCGATACATTGTGAAACATTCGAAACCCAACTCATATTGCACTGTCTAATCCTCTTGAACACAGAGCAATTTAAGAGCATTAAAATTCCTCCTGCACTAAAGGAAAGCCACATCACAACAGCAGTCAGGGGCCACATTAACTGACCTATATATAGGTGGAGACACAAGCTGCAATTATTACAGGATTTAATCAACAGGGCATGCTACACAGACTAAGGGTTTTCTACATAAGTGTGTTCATCACCTGGTTTGGGTTTGGAGAGGCATCCTCCCATGGTGGGCCCGGAGTGAAGCCAGGTGGCCAGTTGAGAGGGAAGCCCAGGGTGGGTGTTAGCAGGGCTGGGCCGATCAGACACTCAGGGTGGGCCGCTGGACCTGGATAAGGTAGAGGCAGTGCTGCAGGGGGGATGTTTGGGCCTGTCGGGCCCACACGGCCATCTCAGAGATCAGCTACTGTACATAATACACAGCCTGAGAAAAGACAACAAATAGAAAAGACAACATATAATTGTAATTCTAATTTACAGATTCCTCTTATTCGCCACTGCTTTGCTATCATTGACCAGTGTTTTGGGGGCTGAGGTGCTGGTGCCCCCTACTTGCTTAACCAGCAGGACTTTTTTTGACCAAACATCTTTATTAGGCTAGTTTTGCTGGTGAGCAAATCCACCTTAGCAGGCAAATATCTGAATCAACATTCAAACTGCCCATTTATTTTCCCCCCCGCAAGGTCAGTGTCAATAAATATAGCTGACAAAAAAGTTTCTAGCCAAGTTTGGACCACTTTTACCAACTTTTCATTGTGGGCATTATAATTTCAGTACACAAAAGCATTGAAAATACACAGGTCCACTTTCTATTTGCTTTTTTACTATTAAATTTACTGATAAAAGTTTGAATTTCAAAAATCTATTTGGTAATTTTTTTTGCAGTAAGGTCATGTGACTCAAGTTTGCTAAAGACTGGACTAACTTGTAGTAAAATAAAATAAAAAACAATTAGTGCTGTCGAATGATTATTTGCGATTAATCGCATCCAAAATAAAAGTTATTTTTACATGATATACCGTATATGTGTACTGTGTATATTTATTATGTATATATAAATACACACATATGCATGTATATAATTAAGAAAAATATGTTATGTTTATATATTATAAATGTATATATATAATATAAATTATATACATGTAAATCCATATAAATATTTTCAAAATATATATTGTATGTGTGTGTATTTATATATACATAATAAATATACACAGTACACAC